TTTGCATTGGAAAGCTGTGCTGGGAGTATTGATGGTGGGTGGGGAAATTAGAAACATTATCGGAGTTTGATATAAGAGAATTATTACGGTGGATTCTCAGATCCAGCGTTGCAGAATCCTCCTTCTGATTCATTATCGCTACAAGACTTGCTGTGGTGTCTAAGCATCTGCTGAACGTTTTAATTTCTCTATATCCTGAAAAAAATATTTTTACATAATTGTTTTAACTTGTGGTATTGGAACACAGGTAGGCACACAATCCTCTGCCTGTTTATGGTAAATTTAACTGCCACTGATTTCTTTATAAAGCTTTTAAGGGATAAATGACACACGGATGGTTTGTTGTCATCAAGAAATGAGATCTGTCTTTTAAAAATCCCATTAACCAGTAGTCAGTTGTTACTTATCTATTCTATCTTTACATGGATTTAATTGACTAGGGTGGCATGTGAATAACCACATGGTGTTTATACTTTTGTTTTCTCAGGACATGTCTCAGGAAGGCTATGGAACCCGATCCCAACCCCCTATGGCCCCAGGAAAGCCCAACCATGAAGATCTAAACCTCATACAACAAGAAAGACCATCAAGCTTACCAGTAAGAAACTAACGTAATTGCTATAGAGAAGCAGTACATTTTAAAATGAAAGTATTTTATAAAGACCTTTCTGCTATTATAATAAGCAGGTGAGATTTTGGGAATGCAAATTGACAAATTTATAATTGGTTTTACAATTGGTTCTGTCTGTTGAGAAGAGCGGGCGATGAGTGATTGATACGTTGTCTGGGGCATTCCTTCACAGGAAGTCTTAAATATTTCAGTTGGTAAGACTTTGGTTAGTGGTTACTACATACTTTGCCCTTTAAAATGTAATGATTTTTTTGTTAGCGTATGATTCAGATTTGAGCATGATTGTGCTTAATAGCTGACAAGCAGTCCAGAGACCAGAGAGTTTACTAACTTGTACACAGATTTGAGTATGCATCTGTGAGGAATCGTGCATGTGTAGAGGGGAGAGAATAGATGTTTAACTTTCTGAATTTTGCATTTGTTCAAATGAGTCTTATTCAGGGGTGTTTAATGTCTGCCTTCATCTGTAAGGGCTTCTTGCCCACAAGATGTTTTGATTGTGAACTAGCATTATTTCAGTGATATTATGGCAGCAGTGAGGAAACTATTGCCACCATGGTTTATTACTTTCAGACCTCAAACACAATGTTTTTGTTGTCAATGTAGTTAAAACACATCTGGAAAAGTACTTGATACAGTCTTTGACAAGTTAAATTCTATTTTGTTAGTACAATCTACAAAGATAGGTGCTGGAATGATAGCTAGTACCTGGTATAGGGCTGGTTATCATTTGAGCATTTTGGTTAGGTTGTGCTGAATCTTGGCTAGCTGTATTATCTCTATGTGTACCTGGGGGGGAAAAAGGGTGCCAAAAATGAATGTGCTTAGCAGAATTATCATAGCTGTTTGTGCTTTGGAGGTCTTTAGCCAGTATGTTTTGGCCTTGTCCCATTTATATCTGGTTGTTTCATAACAAGTAAATCAGCTTAATGTGCCCATACAGATTTAAACCAGGTGAAATATTTTCAGGTTAAAAAAGGCAAATTGATTAAACTAAGTTATTTGTGGCTCTGAACAGCATTGCACAGAATTGTTTCCAAGACAGTTCATACAGTTCAGTGGGCACATAATCATTTTAAATTAGTAGAGGGATGCTTTGGAAGAGCAGGTATCTTAAGTATGCTTAACTTGTTGAGAAACTGAAGTTTGTATGTGAAATCTAAGAACTTACTGCATTTTTTCCAATGACACATGACACTACCATCAACTCCTAAGAGAAGAGCAGTTCATACCCAGTCAATCAAATATTCAGAAATAGAAAGTTAATATAAAATTGTTTCATGTTGTGACAACATGACTTGATAGGCAGATCAAACTCAGCCTCTCTTTCTCTCTAGGTTTTTCTGCAGTTCTGATCACCTTCATGGCTGTAATACTCAGAAATAGTTTGCAGTAGGCTTTGTGTTATCAGTCTTTTTTTTACAGCCTTTTAAAACTTTTAAAACCTAGGACAGTGACTGGTGATATATATATATTTCACATCTGGTTTAAATTTTATGTATGCTTTTTGGGGATAGGGAGAGGAAGCAATGAAATGGATATTGACCACCAGTTATATAAATAACAGCTAATGTGAATGTAAACGTAACTGTTTTAGTAGCTGTTAAACTGTGGGCAGGGTTTTTTTACCTCTACGTACCTGAATATTGGCCGTTTAGAGTTACTTGCTATGCATTGATCTAATAATTTCATTGCAGATTTGTTGAATGTGATATGCATTATGTAAACTGTTTAAAATTTCAGCATTTGAGTAACCTTTGTCTACCCCTTTCACCATGGTATCTGAGGAGAATATTGGGTATATGTATTGCTGAGTGTTTGGTATATTTATTATTCTAACCATGGGTTGATAGCATTAATAGTGAATTTCAGAATATTTGGCCACATACCTTAATTTGTGAATTAGCATTTAAATGTCGTTATTTGGTGAGTTCATCTTTGAAAAAGTTTAGATTTAAAAAAAAATAGAACTCCCCCCTCCCGCCCCTCCCCAAAAAGCAGGTTCATCCACTCAAAAAAAATTACCATTTTGAAAGGCTGAAAAAGAGAATTGCCCAAACTAATATGGGGTGAAATGTCTTTTGTGTTGTTTTTTTAATTCAGAAAATTTTAAAAAAGGAAAGTCATAACATCTCTGAATTTTATATGGCGAACTTATAAGCATATCTAAAACCAGAGAAACTTAGCAATAAATGTTGGATGATCTTTCTGGTACTGATTAAAAAACAAAACAAAAACCCAAACGTACCCATTTCATGGGTTTCAATGTGACTTAACCACCTTCTACAGCATTGAAAGCTGATTTGTGTCATCCCTTTGGGAAGATTTTCTGGCGACTTTGTGTCACAGTAAGCAGAGCTAAACAGTTCAATAGTTGTTCCATTTCCTTCGCACATTGTATACAAAAGTCCTGGCATGAATGTTCCCGTAAAGTTCAAAGCAGGCAAATTTGTAATGTGGGTTGGTAACAAATCGCTACAAACAAAATATTGTTTTATTAGCTGCTTCTAATGGCCTGTCAGATCCTATACAATGTTCTCTTTCCTTCTAAAATGCTCCGATATCTGCATAGTTTGACCTGGGGGGTTTGACCATGTGGGAGTCGCTAAGTCCAAATGAAATGTTGCAAAGAATAGTGCTCATAGCACTTTTGTTTGGGTCGCAATTAGAAGGAAATATCAGGCTTTTGAGAGAACCTCAATGTTTGGTTTTCTGTGAAGGAAAGGAAGTAATAAATAAGGAAATTATTCCCTGTTAGGGGGAGAGAAAGGAAGGGGGGGGAGAAGTGTAGATGAACATATATGAAGAACAGCTACTTCTGAGCAGATTTCTTTGGAGGCAAGAAAAAAATGGCAAAAATACACAATACTGCCATCCTTGGAAAGGCAAGATGGCTTTGGAGATAGGACCTCATAATAAAATATCCACAAGCTGGTTGTTTCAGGAAAGGTTCCTCGATTGGCTATAGATTGTGTATGTGAAAAATAATGTCTCTACTTTTTATCTCTGTCATGTCATAAATTTCCACAGCTCATTGGATTGCCAGGATGAAAAGAAGAGGAGTGTATTTATTTATTTAGCTTTTAATCTGCATCTAAGAAAAGCTCTTTCCAAATGAGCATCGTATTTTTGAATGAGGCCCTATTTTGCTCAGTTTCCCTCTTGCTTGGCTGAGGCAGATGGTCAAGTGGCACTCGCTCAAGTTTACCCTTAGAATGTTGTTTTTTCCTATATTTGCCAGAAGTTTCTTGTTCTGTATTTTAAACCCATTGAGTAAACGGAAACGGTTACTTCACAGTTCATTCCCAAGCTCAGTGAACCCCAAGCCTATTCTTATACACCTTTCTTTAAATCAGACGTAGTATCAACTTAATATTGGATGCATCCTCTGGAGTGAGTAGGGAGACATTACATCTGACACTTGCTGGAATCAGTGCTGTACTCTGTTATGTGACCTGTACATTTTCTGTTCCTCGATTAATTTTATAATCTTATCTATTTACCAGGTCTTTGCTATACATGTTCAACATTTCTATCAGAAATTGGAATGTTCTCTGTATTTTGTGCAATACTCTGTTTATGTCCTGTTTAAGTTTGGTTGCTCATATGTTTACAGAAGACATGTTTCTAGGGAAACTAGATTTTTGAGATCCTCTGCCTAGAAAATGTGGTGAATGGAGCTCCATACATTTTTTTAATTT